TTTTTTTTTTTTTTTGCGAGCACCTCCTCTCTCTCTCTCTCTCTCTCTCTCTCTCTCTCTCTCTCTCTCTCTCTTTGAGCTAAGATCTCACCATGCAGCCTACACAAACTCCTCTTGCCTTAGTCTCTTGAGTTTTGAGTGAACGTACAGGCTGCAGGTTCCACGGTGAGCCGCCACACCTGGCAACTGAAATGTATGTGTGTGTGTATCCGTGCGTCTGTGTGTAGATGCAGATGTAGGTATGTATGTACGTTTTACTTCTGGGCTGGAGATGTGGCTCAGCGATAGAGCATCTGGCATCCATCAGATATGGTTTCAGTCCCCACTACCACCTAACAAACCAACAAACCATCAAAAAAAAATAAATAAAAAACAGAAAAAGAAAAAGTAGCTCATTTCTAAAACAGCCAGGCCATCACACTTTAAGTCACCCAAACCAAAACCCAGGTAGATCTTCTTTAACTCAACATTAAGTAATTAATTAAATTTGCAGCCTCGGGAATCCAAGCTAGGGCTTTCAAGACTACCAGGAAAGACCTCATTCGCTAACTTAATCGCCAGCTCCTTTTTTAATGTTTAAATAATAAACAGGGGTTATAAAAAAAAAACTTTTAAGTCACATCCGGGTTTTTCTTTTTATGACTTAAAATTGAAAGACCACTTGTGAAACAACAGCCATTTCCTGAGACAAACTGGTGGGCCTCATCAGACGTGCCCCAATCTCTAGTGTGTTGGTGAATTCGATGAGGACATTTTCGGTGAGCTCTGTTACCACCATCACCACCCCACCTCAGTAGCCTCCTCAGGCTGCCGAGAAGGACCCATAGACAAGGGCCTGGCATGATGGGGCAGACTCAGCCTCTGATTCTAATCCCAGCACCTTTCTTAGATGACACTCAGGCTGTTTCGTAAGACCTCTTGCCAAACAAAACAAGGACATCAAACAAACATTAAAACGTAAAAGTTCATAGGTTATCACAAGTTTCCCAGTAAAGCCCTGTTCACCAAATAAATGGGTTGACGGGGTAAACTGTTACCACAAAGCAACTACTGGCCTGCTTGGAATAGAAAGACAAGCTACCGGTAATCCCAGTATTCTTCGCCCAGTGCCTTTTCAACGTCCCATCCCTGTCCACCTTCTGCCTCTATGGCCGTGACCACTGGCCTCTGATCTCCCACTTTCCCAGGGGTGCATCAGTCGGGATGCAGGACACTCCAATGCCTGCTGCTGTGACCTCGTGTGCTCGGGAGCAAATAATCCTAGGGTTTCTGCTGCGGGCGGGGTGGGGGGGGGAGAGGGAGGGCGATCATGCCTCAGACCCGGACCCAGAGGCTGTAGAGGGTAACCCAGCTTGGCAAGGCGGAGTGAATCCTGAGGAACGTCGATCCTCTAGGATCTGGCAGTGGCTAATGCTGAGGTGTCCCGAGGACACTCAGGGTGAGGCGACGCGGGTTGGGTGAAGGCAGATGGCGAGCCCACAAAAGCCAGGGTTCACCACAGGAGCGATGAAAAAAAGGCGCCGGTGCAGGGCGAGCCGCCGTGTGGAGACAACCCCCAGGTCACGGCCCCTGGGGTGCGGGGTCGCAGCCTGTGGGGTGCGCGCTCGCAGGAGCCAGAGTCCCCAGAACCTCCAGGGAACACAGGCAGGAAGAGGCGGAGTCCCGAGGAGGAGAAATGAAAGGGGGATTCCGGGAACTGGCAGCGGGGAGGCGGCCTTTGCCTTACTGTCGGCGATGCTGGAGGTCCCCACCCACGTTCCCGCGGTCCCCGCAGTACCTGGACAGCTGCATCTCGCAGATTCCCTCGGAGATGTCCCTGGGGCCACCTCGGAGCTGCCCTGGGCAGCAGGCGCTGATGCGCACGGCAGGCGAGCAGTGGCGGCCGGCGAGAGCGGACCCAGGCCGAAAGCGGGAGACCGCGTGGTGGTGGCCGCTGCTCCGCGACCCGGAGAGTCTCCGCTAGCCGCAGGGCTTCCCGGGGTCTGGAGTTAGACCCGGGCGGCGCTAGCGCGGGCGCCTCAAGGTCCCGGCAGCTTGACCAGCAGCGACTTGTGAACGAGGCGCTAGGCGGGGCCAGGGGGCGGAGTGAGGCCGGGGCAAGGCCACAGATTGGGCACTTTCTTATCCATTAGAGTGCCGCATCCCCACCCACTTCAAGTACAGTCTAGGGAACCAGAGATAATAGATGGGGGAGGGTTGTTTTATTATCTTGGCCTCCTCATGGGGCTAGGTTGGTGTCTAGAGATAACTCGATACAAATGTGCTGGATGCAGACCCAGTGGTGCGGGTAAGTGCTCCCAGCTCCTAGCAAGGCCGGGACGACAGGATCTAAAATTCAGTGCCTTCCTGGGACACAGAGCAAAATCAAGGCTAGCGTGGGCAGTACAGTGAGACCCTGGCGCAAAACACAAAGGAAAAGGGGGTTGGGGTGTCACTGAGTGTCAGAGCACTTGCTGACCGTGGACTAGGTCCTAGATCCGATCAACGAAGGCACGGACGAATGAACCCTCTCTCCTGGGTCCAGCGCTTACCTGTTTATAAACTCCTCTGATTGTCACTTTCCACCCAGGGTATAAGCAAAAACTATAAATACCAAAACCCAACTCCTGCTTCTCCTTGGGTCTTTGCTTAATATTCCCCAGCTCTCAGCCCCAAGAAATAGATACTTTAGAGTTAGGAGAACAATCCTTCCTTACATACTTAGGTACTGACTGGAAGCCCCTGGCCTGGGAGTTGCCCCAGGCGGTTGCCAAGCGCTGACCCCTCCCCCGGGGAGGGTCAGGACCACTCCCACAGGTTTTAGGATTGCCTGGGTTTTTCTCCCTGCCATGCTCTCTTGGTCCACCAGAGAGTGCCGCATTTATTTAAAAAAAAAAAAAATGGGCATTTTAATTTGGTCTTATCTCGTTTGATTGGAGTTTCTTGCATTAGTGGAGAGGCTTTTATTAAGATTAAACCAAACACTGATATTCTTTGTCTTCCAAAATAGAATCTGGTCAGCTTTCAGTGGCGTGTGGCTAGTCTAAACACGAATGTTACCGAGATGGAAATGTCAGTGGAAATCCACAAGACAAGGTGTGGGGATGACTACACTTTCAGCCTGTTTTGAGCACTGAATCTCACTTTCAGGTCGGGGGAGGGGAGTAATGCACAGATTTTGTGGAGGGATTTTTTTCCCCATAAAAAGTTTTTTTTTCTTTAAAGACAAGATTTCTTTATGTATCCAACTGACTTGAAACTTGAGATCTCCCTACCCCACCCACCAAGTGCTGAAATGACTACCAAGAGCCACCACACTCAGCTTAAAGGAACTTTTTCATTGGCGAAGTATCATTTGTGGGGCGCCTCTTTGTGGGCTGGTCGTGAAGAGGCCTCACAGGCCTACCTCTTGTGTTCCCTGGGGCAGAATTCCTACCAGTCCCATAACTTTGAAAGGCTCTTATCTGGAGTCCTGGTTCTCTACCAAACATATTTGCCATTGAAAATATTTCAGCCACAGTTTCAAAGAAGCTGCAGAAAAAGTTCCAGCAGATGGGGTAAAGCTGATACAAAACTGTGGCTGAGTGCTTCCACTTGAGCATTAAAAGTGTAATATATGCATTAAAAATAGAAATATCCCAGAAAATGGGTGGGACTGGAGCTCATTATGGTCAGCAAAATAAACCAAACTCAGACCAATAATATATTTTCCCTCGTACATGGGATGTAGATTTAAATATATTTAAATATGCAAATTTAAATATAGGTGATGAAAATAAAAAGACGTCTATGAGAGCGGAAGAAGAGTTCTAAAGGGAGGCAGTGGTGGAGACCAGAGAAGATAACGAATATTCATGTCATGAAAGCAGAATGAGGCATATTTGGGAGGAAGAAAGGGGCAGCAAGAGGGGGAGGGGATGACCAGGGCAATGAGGCCACAGGAATAAAGTCCAGTGTCATATATACACATATACATATATATACAACACATACACACACATATACATATATGTACAACACACACATATATACACATATACATA